CAGTGGTTCTTGGAGGGTTGTAGCTCGTGGAGGCGTGAACGGGGAGCAGGCTGGTGACAATAAGTGCGGCGCCACAAGTGGGACGACCGGCTTCCCTCTGGTTGTGATCCATGCATGTGTAGGACGTGTCTTGCTCCGTCTTCCTTCCTCCACCCCCTCCTCCTTTCGGGTTCTTTGCTGTCAAGGGTTGGATTTACAGAGACACGGGTCTCTCAGTGGGTGTCGAATCAATACATTATTTTCGTAGATCTTTTGCTTGCCCTTACGTTTCTCCTTTTTTGGTCCCCCTGTCCTGGTCACTCTAAGGATGAAGCTCACGGAAGCATTCAATGGCGGCGCTCACGGCAACATCCACGGGCTGTTGGGCGGCACGTGGTCTCCCGAGGCGGACGAGTACGCCGCGGTCACGCCGTACATCGTAATCCCCTTCGTTCACCACGCATACGTGAGTGGAAAAACGAGCGACTGCGGCCGTGGGCGTACTTCAGGAAGCATGTTGTGGAGATAAATGTGTGTGCATACGTGTATGTATGTACTTCATGAAGTATTGTGCTGCGTGGTGACGAGGGGTGGTATGTGTTAAGGATACCATATCGGCGTTGGTGTGGCATGACCGGGGGCAAGTGCGATGAGCTGAGAAGAAAGCGAGAGTGAAGTTGTTTTTCGCGGAAAAGAGGAAAACACGTGGTGCGTATGGACAGGTACACTGCGCGCGGGCGCTTTTGTTGTGCCCTTGGCTGGGGTCGAGACATTTGCTCATTCAAGGTTGCCAACATATGGAAGGAAAAGGGATGGACTTCACCTTTCATGCGATTGCCTGAAGGCTCCGCGCTTACATATATTTTGTGTATTGCGTTTCAGCCGATGAGTTTCGTCCCCGCTTTGCGTTGTTGCGAAGTCTTGCGGCCACCGGCATGTACGATGATGATGAGTGCACCCCCTGGGCTCTGTTGTTCATGTTTTTCCGACGCGCGGCAGATCGCGCAGAAGATCATGTGGCGGGAGAACGCCATCGAGTGCCCAGAGAGCTGCACATTCGATCAGGGTTGGAAAGACTGCCAGTGCCAATGCAGCGAGTCACTCATGGAAGGGAGGACAGCGGCAGAGGCCAGTACCGCGTCGCGTGTTGCTTTTTTGTCTGCGTGATGATGTGCGTTTTCGTAACCATCCACAGCGAGCGGCTTTGCTTGTTGACTTCGCGACTCAAGTGGTGTATTTCAATGCTGTTGGAGTTTCGATATTTATTGAAGGCAGATTTTTCAGCAGCTTGCAGCCGATCTCTTAGACCGAAAATCGGCAAACAGAAATGGGACGGAAAATACAGGTGACTTTTCATCGAGTGTCGTACTGTTTGGCATCGAACGTAACCAACGCAGGGTAACGCGGGACATTACCAAACAACCCCCCAAATTTTCTTCCTCCTGTGTGGCCCAAGCTGATCCCCTAACAATGTTTCGGAATGTGTAGAAGGTATTGCAACAACAAAACTTACCAAAATACTTTCCCGATACCAACCGAGAATGCCAGATGAAAATTCTGACCTCCAATAAGCCCACAGGCAGCTGGCGCGCGCAATCAGCTGCACCTTGCGTCACGCACCTACCCCCCCACCGATTTTGATCACCCATCCTCCCCTCTCCCTTTCCTTCCCACCCTGAACTGGCACCGTGCCGTCATACAGTTCCTGGAGTTGGGCGATGTCATTGCGACGGGATACTTCTACGATGCAGACTACCAATTAGTCCGCAAGCTGGCTGACTCGGATGTACGTCTCGAGTCTTCCCTTTGTCGTGTTGTGCACTTTTTTTTCGATGCGGGCGACGCTCTACACGAAAACAACGTTTTTTCCAGGCAAACCTCACCGGCGAAATAGTTCTAAACACAAGTGCGGCACTTCTCCGTGAGAAATGAGCCGCGAGTACTCCCAACATGTTGGCTCCACGCACATTTGTTTTGTTTAGTTCGTGGCGCCGAGAGGACGTAGACAGTGGTGCGTAGGGACGCTGTCAATGCACTCGTTCAGCGCGTTTGTATCGTCGCGTTTTGATTGGCCGATTCCTTAAACTGCAGTTTGACATTCGGCCAAGGTGATTCACAGGTTGTCAATCTTGATTTCTCTTTTTTATACCGCTTTTCCGACCGCTCGTTCTGACGAGGAAAAATATTAACCTTTGTTAGGTGCCGCTGTCTGTATGTTGTCAACCATATAGTTGTTGATGCCTTCACGTAAAGAGCCGTTCCCATCTCTCTGCCCAACACCTTCTTCTGTCCGTACTGATATCCAACTTGATGCGGTCGATTCCTGTGGTCACCGGCATATTGAAATGTTTGTTCGTCGGGTGTTATGTCTTCTCATTGTTTTCTTTCAACAGGGGCACTACTACGAAGAGATTCCCGGCTACTCCGCCGAGGAGTCCACGGCGATTTACCAGGGGCTGAAAGACGCGCTGTGCATCCCGACGAAAGTCGGCAGCCATTTCGAAGCCACGAGCACCAACGACGTGAGTGCCCACGAGGGACCGCTTCTGCTATCGTAAGAACACGAATGAGGGCCTAGCCTACGGAGGAGAAAAGAACAACATACTACATTCCTTTACCGTGCTAAACACTGATACGGTAGTGCCTCTCTTGTGTATCCCCGACTATATTGTGGTGCGAATCTCTTCGTTTTGCATCAGTAGTGCCTCTCTTGTGTATCCCCGACCATGTTGTGGTGCGAATCTCCTCGTTTTGCATCAAGCTATCCTCCGACCAAACCAAGCACATCCTCCCATGTCGCCAACCACTTGTTGCCCTTTTCTTTCGCCACGAAACCGTCTGCCACAACACATTTATCTCCATCTGGGGGTCAAGAGTCCAACATCGTTGTTGTTGCTGTTGCTGCGCCAACCGTTTCGCTGTGCTCCTGTTTCGTTTCCATCGTGTGTCCAGGTGACCTTCTGGGTGCTCCACCCTACCTTCGACAGGTGAGCGTGGGAAAAGTTGTTCCGACATGCAATTGATCCAGGCCGAGAAAGAATTCACTTGACAAGACTGACCTCCGGGAGGCGTTTTGCTTGCCCTGGGGATGTTGCTTCGCGCGCATGAAGGCTGTGTTCTTGTTGGTTGGAGACTGCCAGAAATGTAATGAACGATCTTGCAATCGAAAAGGAGTCGTCCGATTGGCGTTGCTCGTGATGTTGACATGAATTAAGCTCCACCCTCCCATCGTTAGTCGCATTTCACACGCAACACTTGTCGGCTATCCCCCAATCAAATGCTGGAGTTGGAGGCCATCTACCTCGAGTAGGAAGTTGACAGTGCCTTGTCACGTGCGGGAAACGCATTCTTGGCCAATGATCAATCTCCTCGAGTTGTACGACGCCTCCGCCATGCCCGGAACCGCCGAAACGGCACGACATCTCAACCAATGCGGAACCTCGCTTTTCGACCATGAATGGATCAGGCTCTGGCACCTCTCGCGCCTGGAACAAGACCCGGTTTTCAACGAGACTTGGATATCGGACTCCACCTGTGTCGGCCACAACGCGGACGACGTCCAGCCCTTCCACGATCTGTTCCTGGAAGAGCACGAGGAGGAGCCTGACGTGGTCGGGTCGGTGGGGGGCGAAAGTGTGGGTCCCCTGAAGCGGTACTACACAAACGCGGAGCTGTACGACCTGCTTCACCCGGCGGGAATGCAACTTCCGTACGTGTACGACAACTTCGCGTGGCCGCACTGCGATGTGAGTGATGGTTGCCATTCATTGTTGGTGTCATATATTTTTGTTGCCGTTTCTCATGGTTGTATTTTGGGGCTTCTGGTGTTGCCAAGCGAGAGCGACCAGAGTACCTCACACGACACGAGCTTTGGGCGGTGGATTCTGCGTTGATGAACCTCGATCGAGCTGATCCCAATCTCGTGGGAGACGGCACCCGCTTGGACCATCAGCATCTGTATCGGGAAGGAGCGTCTCATGAAAGGCCGAGTCCATGGTCTGCGAACAACGCAACGCACTCGCGGTGAAGCCCCCCGATTTTAACAGGTGCCCGTGTATTCAGCGCCAACTCGCTGTTGTCGTCGATTTCATGGAAACACAACGACTTACACTCGATCTTGCTTTCGTCGTGTTTGACCGATGGCAGGCCCAAGGAGTTTTCATCAACTGACGAATTATGAGGTGACCCTGATGGTCTTCGGGCTTGACCGGAGTTCGTCGCCGATGGCGGCGTTTGGCGTCGCAACGGACTTTCTTGGTTGTTGGGACTTCTATACAAGTCGGCGTACAATGTCGACAACTGCTGCTGCTTTTGTCCGTTGGTGCTGCTCACATTATGCATACAGCGTACCCGGTTAGGCAGCCTCCACCGCTACTCAATACCGCAGGGAGCTTCACGCGTTCTGCATAACGTCGTGGGTAATGGCGAGCCGTGAGGTACTTCGTTGCCAGCAAGTCTCTCCGCCTGACTGTATCAAACAATCACTCACGGGCGTGTAGTTCAGGCGGAAAGCTTGTGTCCAAGTCGACGAGGGACCCGGTTCGGTCATCTCTGATTGACCAAACTGGAGTGAAGGCGATGGCGGCGGCATGCGAGTAACGCTGCGTAGACAGCAATGTTTCGTTCGCTCCCAACGCTGGGTAGCATGCATGTAGGCAACAAGGATCATTGCCGGGGAAAGTACTGATGGTACCGGAGGGGGTTAAAGAAGACCGGCGGCGCGTGCGACCGGGAAAGGAGGCATGGTTGACGCGGCAGGGGGAGTTGAATGCGCTTGATCCGTCTTCGAGGGGTGTGTGCCATCGCAGCATGATGCTTGGGCAGAGACGGGTGTTCTGAGCGCCCACCCACCGGGCTGCCAGCGGGCCCCTACGTAGTGTACATGTTGCCTTTCGTATGAATTGGAAGGATGGTGTGTGTGTGCTCGCACATGCACTTGGCCTGCATCCTGAACAGTGGGCGGATGAAAGGGAGGCCGTCGAATTTATTTGATTGGATAGGGTGTTTCGTTTTCAAGCGCTTCGGCGGCGCTCTCATTGTGAATGCCCGGCCGGGGGCACCGGAAACTGTTCGAGGTAGGCATCGTCTGTATTCTACTCCGAATGTATTTGGGAAGAAAGGAAACCGTCTTACGACAGAGGTTGGCACGGTTGTTGGTCCCATTAAGTAATAAGGACGATATATCGATTGTTGCTGCAGTACGTGGTCTTGACACCGCGCAGGCATGTTGTCTCACGTCCGTCTCGGTCAGTGTCTCTAACTTTCGGTCCTTTCCTCTTTTGTGAAATGTTTTCAGTGCATGCATTATAGCAGCGTTCATGGTAAATAGTTCAGGTATCAAGTCGTCCGATGGTAATGGACACACATGGTTTTTCGGTCAAAAACGTGTCCTAAGGCCGGCGAAGTGTCCTTAAGGTTGATACACCTCCTCGTGTCGTACATTCAAGTTATCCCGGGGGAGTGTCCTCAAAAAGATTGTCCTTAACTGAGGGATGACTGTAGTGTTGATCTAGAAATACGTTTTTTCCATTCTAAATGTATGTTGTACGGCGCTGTGCACGTTTGATTGCGGAGGTGGTTCCTTACGTTTCCGAGGTTTTGCTCCGTCTTTCACATATCTGGGCGTGCGTACGTGCGTGCAACCCCATCGGAATAGTACGTATCAGGGTGCCTTTGCTGCTTCGGTCGGGTAACGGCTGTGTGAATGACTGGGATCGATTCTAGCCCTTCCTTCTTCTGCGTACACTTCTGTTCGTGTGGGGGCTTGATATATGTTTCCCCCTACAATTCGTTGTCTTGGTTGTTGTTGCTGATGTGTTTTCGCAAGAAAATACGTTTGCTTCCGATCTCTGCCCAGTGATGTTGTCATCCACACGGACCCGACCGATGCCAATGCCTGTTGTCGTCACAAAGGACAACTACACAAGAGAGCCATACACCATCGGTGCAATTCTAAAATAAACAAATAAACGTAATAGCGCCATTATTTGTACTAAGCACGAACGACGGAACAGCAAGGCCCGAGACAGCCAGGCGTCGTAGGCGAAATGTCGGGCCATTAGTTGGTTCTGCCAACGTACAGTAGTCACTCTGAATGGACCATCACACCGTTGGGCACGAATCGGTGAACGGCGATGGAGTCACTCGTGTCTTCCTTTTTAGCGGATCGTGGCCGTCCGGTCTTTCCTGCTGTGACCTGGATGACGCATCCTGGGGTGCTCTTCCACTTTTGGCCGTCCTTTTCATGTTGGTCTGTGCATACAGCAAGGAGACTGAGTGGAGGCCAACATATTTTGGGGGATACGTACGGGGAAAGACCTGCCGCACACCGGACGCTCCAGAGGGCACACCAATAAATGAGTCGCCGCTGCCCTCTCACAGCAAGCGATTGTCGCCAAGCCAAACGTCACGGATTCGTGAGAAGGAGGATCCGCTCAACTCTGGCATGTCAAGCACTATGCACGATGGCATATGCCGACAATACCTATGCATCCCATCCCATAGCCTTCCGTCTCACTCGTCGATGAATAAGTTGGTGTTTGTGTTGCACAAGGTCTGACTTTCATTCTTTCATACATTCTGTCATTTTCTCCGACACAGCAACGTTGCTGGTGTCCACGTGTTTTTTTGGGCACCCGAGCCCTGCTTTAGCGATTCCGCGGGACAGAAACCGTCCAACGTTTTGACAGGAGGAGCAGCGACGAAAAAATGCACCAACCATTTTCGCTGACACACGCTTCGATCAGGCGCGGCGGTAGGCGAGTCGTGCGCATAGAAAGGCACGGAGTTATCGCAACCAAAACCTTGGGGATCTCGCGGTCTACCCCTTAAATCCCCCCACCCCCACCCCCCCCCCCCCGTGTTCACCATCGGGGTTGGG